TACAACGTTTCGACAAGGTTTTGTCGTACATTTGCTGTCATGTTAAACTTATATTAAAGTTTTTCTTCATTACCCATTTAAGCCGTCTCCAGCCATTATTAAACAAACAGAATACTTAATAGAAAAGTTTGTACTTGGGCAATCAAAATAACTTGAATCGATTAGATGGGGGTATCGATCTTTGATTTTTCCGACTTTCTTTGCTTACTGATATATCACGACTACAACCTTTGAATATCTCAGATAGTAATATCTTAGTAATGTTTTAGTTGATTATCAGTCAGAGGTTAAAGTAAATATTGATTGTTTTAGATAACACAACTCAATTAATTTTACTTTGTGGCCAGTTTTATTCAACTATACAAACGAAAGGATACTAACGATACCGTATTCGATTCACTAACTTCACAAGTAGAGCTTGATTTTCTTTTTTTCAGCAGCTTACCCTGCAGGGTATGGTCAGTTTGCTCAAGCCCTGACCCAACAGCCAACACTTATTCCTCAGTCACAAAGGGAAGGTGAGTACGTTGGAACTTTTGTTTATTTTTCAAATTATAACACTCGACTTCAGAAGGACATGGTATATATTGTTATTTATTTTACCAATAGTGTTAATAGAATAAACCTAACCAAGTTATCAATAAATTCTTATCAACACTATCAGAAAGGTTGTACAATAACACGAAAAAAAAAAGTTATAATTGAAAAAGTTTATGGACTTCGATCTTTTGTTTCGACTTTAAATATTCCTTCCTACTTCACTTCTTCTAATAACCTTCAATACAAATATTAGGATTGGCTCAGATTTGCTGTTGCTGTTTCCAAAAGCATTTGTTAGTTAACACACGCACGGAACGTATAGATGATGACCGAATTTATCTATTGTAGACTAAACGGATAACAGTTTTATTCTGTATATTGATTTTGATTTAACAGGTGCTGTTCATTTATATTTTATCTAACTCTTCTTTTCTAATTAGTCGAACAGAAACAATTATTTTGAATCATTAGTTTTGGCGACACAGAATTTAATTATAGATAAATTTCATTAATCTTGGTATCTACCTCATTCTGCCCTTCTTACTTAAAAAAAAACAACAACCTTGTTTAGGGTTCCCTTTTTTTATCACATATACCGACTATTTAGCTACGATTAACATATATCTGTAATATATATATTTGTGTATATATATATTTATTTATTTAATTCCAGAATCATTCTATAAATATTATATTACTTCTTATTATATAATGCACTATTCATCAATATGATTTAATTGTACTTTCTTATGTACCTATTGTGTAAAAACTAATGCAATTATTAAAATAAGAAGGGATTTTCTGTAGAAATGCCAAGTTATGATGTTCCGGTAGGAAAGCGGTAAGCTTAGGGACTTACGACGCTAAAATCCGAGTTTCTAATCATAGCGGTGGACAGAGCGCAGATAATCTTTGCGTGAATCTGCGCAAAAACAAAATCTCGTAGTTTTGTTCGGGAACATTGCTCAGACTGTGGTACAGATATTGTTGTTGTTCTAGGTTTCTTGGTTTACATACTCACTTTCTAGATATGTCGTGAAGTGCTAAAATGCATAAAAACAAATGAGGCTGGTTTTTTTTGCACATTTTTCGTTTTATTATGCACGCACAACTTCACCGAACTTTATATAGAATATACAGTATCGGAATATTACGAAAATAAACACCATTATCAATTAATTATGTAACTGGGTATAAGCTTCGTAACAAAGACTTCTCTAAAATGAACTGAAGTGCGAAGGTTGGATTTTCGTAATAATTTCATAAATTCACTTATTTATATCTATTACTTGAGCATAATAGTTGGATATTAACAATATCATGTCATCCTGAAACTCGTTTAATATTCTTAACTAACTGTACAACATATAATGTTACTTTTTACATTGCAAAGCTACGCAACGGAATATCTGCGTTATGTCTCCCACGGGGATCGAAATCACAATTTTAGCGTCGCAAGCTGGGCAGCTTACTTCTGAGTCAATGCTATGCTGTTGTTTTTCATAAAAAAAAATTTTGAATTGTTTCTTTACTGAAGCCGAGCACGTAAATCACGCAATATATTTTTGACAACAAAACACAATCATATAATATCAACTACATTATCACAAAAGTATAATTAGTAATAAATAGATTTTCAAACTAATACTTCACGTATATTTTGAAGTATCGGAGCTACAAGCTTTAAATCACTCTTTATTAGAGAGAATGCCTAAATGCCAAGGACAGTTTTTTAAAAAAAGAAGGGCACAAGAATATTCACAACAATGTTATAGATAAGGTTATTTGAACGAAAATGAATGAATATACATGAAGACTCAATAGTGTGTGTGTGTGTAACAATGTTGTTGTGAACGAAAGTTCTAGAATAATTAATTATACTTGTCTTATGACAGACGTAATCTAACCTGTATAAAATGTAGCGTGTGTCACATCACGTCTCGCTTGATTTTTCCTGGTTTCTCGAAATATGAGGAGTCATAAAATCCAAAATGCATTTATCCAGATAAAATAGTTCGATTAATGTCTGCCCATTACTATTTTGGTGACAGAGTGAAAAGGGGTCAGTGAAACCTTATAAGTGTAGTGAGTGTTGGTATAATATCCCTAAAGTAAAGACATAGTGTGGGATCACCTAGCCTAGAGCCAAGTACATAAAATTTATCATGAAAGTAAGCATATCGATTCAATTAAACTTAAATAATTTCTGAATTAAGCTATTTTCCTTATATCAACAATGTTTTTAATGAAAAACAAACCTATTTAATGAACGGAGACTCTAAATTAAGAAACAATAAATATTTTCCAGTTTTGTTGTCTATACATTTCATTTTATGCTTTCAGTACACAGACTAACAACAATATTAGGTTAAACTTTTGTTGCTAAGTGACATGACATAAAAGCCATTGTTGAAAAGTAGTATTAACAAAACGCACTGGGTTTTCTATATATTAGAAGTTCTTAATCTAACTGATTTTTACGAATAATTATTCTACGCATACGCCACGAATTCATTTCATGAATGATATTAATTTTGATTGGGTCACAAAGGAATTTACCAACGTTTGACTGCCTCGACTGCACTTTTCCGCCTCTTTGTTGGCCAAGCTTGATTTCGCAAAATTTATTTATTTCAGTTAGCTATGAAATGTGAGGTTATGGTATACTATGGGGTATGGGTGGTAGTACTTGCCCCATCATTTTGTACGGGGTATACTCTAGGTAATTATAATGATTCTTCGCCACGAAGAAAAGGCATTTAAACCACAATAATGATAATCAAGAATTAGAAAATTATACAACAGAACATTCTAGTAATTGTTTTAAAATCAAATCAAATAATGCGTATAAGAGAATTCGAAATTACTTAGACTGATAAAGCGTCCGAAATGCGGAATATTATGCGCTAAAAGCAGCATTTTGCTAGAGTTCAGTTGTTTAGTGCCTCCACTGTTTTTATTTAGGTGTTTGGAACTCTTTCTTGGAACTTGAAAAAGGGATTTTGTTTATCAAACGAAACTATACTTGATAGAATAATGTTATAGTTTCTACCCCCTTTTAAAAATCAAATAAAACATTTAATATTACATTTATCACTCACTGTTAAATAATTAAATGAATAATAAAGTTACAGAAAACCAAAAGGTATCCATTCTGCTACTCCTTATAGATTGGTATATGTGAAAGAAACCAGGCAAAATGCTATATAAAAATGACATAGATAAACCCCACTGTAAAGCTTCACACATCAGGTACAGCTCAGAATAATAGTTTTGAGGAATGAATGCTGTACGTTTACAGGAAATCAAAGGCAATATGTCCCGTTTACGTCCTATAATCTTATAACTAAAAACAAAAACTTTGTCCTATGAAATGAAATACGTCATCATTGAAGAAATATGAAGCTATAGCTAAAACTACTAGAACAATAAAACAGAGATATTTGAAAAGATATAAATTTTCTTTTAACCAAGACGTAAAACTAACTTGTAAATGTTATTTCAGATAAATATCTTAAACATTTTCTCTTGTATGACTACCAAGCTATGATATGTAAGTTTAGTCGTTCCAAGGAGGAGAACAAACAAGTGTTTTATTCTTTTAACCCGGATGTTAATAGATAAATGGTTACAAACATGAATGAATACAATGAAGAGAAAAATACCACCAATTGCTGATAAAATAATTAAGTTTAAAGGGTAAGTGTGTGTCAAAGTTATAACTGAGAACAAAAATGTTAACGTCATCCTTCACTGCAAGGTCAAATTAAACAAGAAATAATAATTAACCACTTTCTTGTAAATGATAAAATAACAATAAACAAAGTATTAGAAATGTTGAGCACAAAGGCTGGCATAAACTGTTTCAACAACTTAGTTATCTTCCAAAAAAGTAATGAGATAAAAGGATCCCATAAAACACTTATCTTAACCTAGGTTAATTATCTACTGGAGGAATGTTGAGATAAGAAGAACCCACAAAGCTCTGATCTTAACCTAGGATGATTATCTACTGGAAGAATATTGAGATAAGAAGATCCAATAAAGCTCTAATCTTGACTTAGGCTGATAATCTGTTGAAATAAAAGGATCCCATAAAGTACTTAGCTTGCCCTAGGTTGATTATCTACTAAGAAATAATTGAGATAAGAGGACTGATTATAGAAAGCATTTATCTTGGTATAGGTTGATTATCTGTTGAAATAAAAGGATCCCATAAAGTACTTAGCTTGACCTAGGTTGATTATCTACTAAGAAATAATTGAGATAAGAGGACTGATTACAGAAAGCATTTATCTTGGTATAGGTTGATTATTTACTGAGTGAGTGTTAAGATAAGACGAACCCATGAAGTACTTATCTTAACCTGGGATGATATATCAACTGAGAGAGTATTAGGATAAATGAATCACATAAAGCACTTATCTTAACATAGGTTTATTATCTACTGAGAGAGTATTAGGATAAATGAATCACATAAAGCACTTATCTTAACCTAGGTTGATTATCTACTGAGAGAGTACTGAGATAAGAGGATTCTAAAAAGCACTTATCTTGGTCTAATTTGATTATCACTGCAAGAATTTTGAGACAAGAAGATCCCAGAAAGCACTGAGCTTAACCTAACTTGATTATCTTCTGAGTGAGTATTGAGATAAGAGGACCACATAAGACACTTATCTTAACCTTTCCAAAATCACCGTCAATGTCATTTTAGGACTGGCGTTTTTGTTTTTTTATCCCTTATTCCCCTTCGTGTATGTGCTGATCTCCGATAAGAGTCTCTACATTGTCCCAGTTACTTTCTTCTGAGAATAGTATTCTATCTGTGTTCCATGTTTGGTTGTTAGAAAAACTGGTGGTTATTTTTGTTCTTGTATTCTGATGTTCAAGACGTTTTGATCTTCCCCATTATTACCACCGTAATCATTATTCTTCTGTAGTTTGATTGTTTTTGGAAACTGTCTTGATCTTCTTGGACAGATTGATCTTGCTCAAAAACTATTTTTTTTGTAAGTCTCCTGGAGTTTATATTTTTTGTTTTTCAAATACTATCGATGTTGAGAAAACGTATTGGTGTATAAGTCAGCACAAAACTGTAGAAAACTTATCCCGGTGTGAGTATTGTGGTTGAAGAAGTTTTTTGTTGTACGCTTGAAATGATGTTTGAGCCAGTTTTGATGGGTTTTCATTTTCTTTAAACAGTTTTGTAAAATTTTCAGTGAACATCAACGAACTGAGGGTAATAAGTTCTAAAGACATTTGAGGTTGAGCAGATAATAGTATCTTGTTTGATGGCTAGAGGGTGGATTGAAGAGAAGCAAAGATACAGGCCATTATGTGTCAGCTTACTCTACGTTTGAATAATAAGGTTTGACCATTTTTTCTAAGAAATCCAAATATGGGAGCTGTCCATTGTTTTCTATTTCTATGGTAAACTGGACAGAAGGACCCTTTCTGGTAAAAAGTGGTTAAGAAAATTATCTATCTTTATTCTGTCATAATTCCACATGAGGTGTCTTTAATGAAATGCTACCATTTTGAAGGTTTGTTTAATGCTGAATGTAATGCATAATTCTCCATCTCTAAGAATAACTTACATATAATAGGAGATAAATGAAAATACAAGCGAGTGCCCTCTATATGTGCTAGATATTTGTTTCTCTCCCTCTCTCTCCAAAGAATTTTTGTTGCAGAGAAACAACTGTTCAGTAACTTTATAACAGAGGATCTGAACAGATTAGTTCTGAAACAGAGGATCTGAACAGATTAGTTCTGAAACAAAGGATATGAACAGATTAGTTTTGAAACAGAGGGTCTGAACAGATTAGTTCTGAAATAAAGGATCTGAACATATTAGTTCTGAAACAGAGGATCTGAACAGATTAGTTCTGAAATAAAGGATATGAACAGATTAGTTTTGAAACAGGGGGTCTGAACAGATTAGTTCTGAAACAAAGGATCTGAACATATTAGTTCTGAAACAGAGGATCTGAACAGATTAGTTGTGAAACAGAGGATCTGAACAGATTAGTTGTGAAACAGAGGATCTGAACAGATTAGTTCTGAAACAAAGGATACGAACAGATTAGTTTTGAAACAGAGGGTCTGAACAGATTAGTTCTGAAACAAAGGATCTGAACATATTAGTTCTGAAACAAAGGATCTGAACAGATTAGTTCTGAAACAGAGGATTTAAACAGAGTAGTTCTGAATGTGAGAACTTTCATAACTAAAAAACTAGTTAGCATATCTGTCGTTTTATTTTCTACATATTCAATTATATAAAAAAAACCTTCGGATGTTCGCATCATTAGTTTAAGATTCCATTATTTTGGTTAGATGTTTTGTTACGTTATACTTTGGACGGTTAAACAAACGTACTTTTAATCTAGGTGGAAAATATCTTCTTTATTAGCATTTTGCATAGACCATAGTGTTATGGAAGCGTAGCATGACTGTCAGTGGCTTAAACCCAAAAATTTTGTAAACAGTAGCTCATCAATCTTTTCACACAATTCATGCCAGCCTATGTACTTAAACTCAGTTGTTGTACAATCAAAGAGCTGGGAAGGGGCGATAATACATAAAACAATCAACTATTTTTATGTGGTTTGTAAGTTATAAGGTATTCTATTCTTTTTTTTTTAGTGTTAGTTTCTTTAATATTATCGGTGAAGATGCTTAGTATATATGTATATAATTTATTATTATTTTATTATATATAATTTTATTATTATTTTTATTATATATATGTATATTCATTATAAGGATTATTTTACATTGTTAACTTGGTACACGGTCGCTAACAGCGTGGGTACCGAAATGATCAATCAGTACACTCTAATTATTATTTGTTTGATGACCTTACATTTTCCTAGACTTTAGTCGGGTTACCTATATTAATTACATGAGTATTTTTAGTTCAAATCTGCATAGGTAGCCTGCTTTGTACAAAAGATAATGACAATCTTCAATTCCGTAATGCTTTGTACTATTGTTTGTTTTGTTTTGTTTTTTGTTCTATTTTTTACATTGAACATTGCTATGAATCTTTCATTCTGAATAATATTGTTATACGTATTTTCATGTCTGCACTTGCGGATTTATTCCTTTCTTTTAAAGAATCCTTTGTCAGTTGAGTTGGGTATTCCACCTTAGGAAGAGCACTTGAAACTGTTTGAAATCTCGTGGTTCAAATAAACCGCAGTATATATGTTAAGTATTAACCAGAAAGCCTCTTCTGTACCTGATTGTACTTATAGACGTTTGAAATGACTTTAAAGTTCACAATAACATCAAACTGCATTATTTTTGAATTTTTAAAATTGTCCGTAGGCTTATCTGTACTGTCATGTATTTAGTTGTTCAATTTCGGGTTCATTTTTATTGTGCTTAAGGGAACATATGAATTGATGTCGGTTTTTCTTTGTAGTGATTGCGTTTTAGATTCGATAATCCATACTAGCTTATGTCATTGTGTATTTGTTCTTTCTCCTCTCAGGCCCAGAAGGTTGCAATCTCTTCATCTACCATTTACCACAAGAATTTGGCGATGCTGAGCTCATGCAAATGTTCTTACCCTTTGGAAATGTCATCAGTGCTAAAGTTTTCATCGATCGTGCCACCAATCAAAGCAAGTGTTTTGGTAGGTTTTCTTTAAAAAATAAAACGTTTATTCTCTAAAGCGCAATTTGTTTCATCATCTTTATCAATGTAAGTTTACTTGGACACTTTTCAAAGAAACTTGAAGTTCCTCTAGATATCCAGCTTTAACTATAACAAAATAACATATTATACGTGTATTCAGGCGTAGGTTGACCCTGTGGTAAACCTCTGGACATATTATATATGTATTCAGGCGGCGCTGTAACCTAACTAATCTCTGAGGGCGTAAGTCGGCCCTGTGTTAAACCTCTGGACATATATATGTATTCAGGCGGCGCTGTAACCTAACTAATCTCTGAGGGCGTAAGTCGGCCCTGTGTTAAACCTCTGGACATATTATATATGTATTCAGGCGGCGCTGTAACCTAACTAATCTCTGAGGGCGTAAGTCAGCCCTGTGTTAAACCTCTGGACATATTATATATGTATTGAGGCGGCGCTGTAGTCTAACTAATATCTGAGGGCGTGGGTTGACCATGTGCTAGACCTGGCGAACCGCGTTCCAATCCATTCGACGCCATAAAACATTTCCAGTAGTTTAACACGTTCAGCTGGGGTGCGTTATAAGAGTGACATTCAATCCCTTAACGTAGATGATGAGTGGTAGTGTGTTACTGATTGGCTGTCTTCCCTTTAGTCAGTAGTTTAAAATTAGGGACAGCGCAAATAGACTTAGTATTGTTTGTTTGTAGTTATACACAGAGCTACACAATGGGCTATCTGTGCTCTGCCCGCCACGAGTATCGAAACCCGGTTTCTAGCGTTGTAAGTCCGCAGACATACCGCTGTGCCACTGGGGAGCCGCCTTAGTAGTTTTGCGGTAAATACAAAACATTAATATCTAAAGATTCGGGTAAGTTTTTCTTTTTTATCTGTACTCTATATGGATTACGTAGTCTTGCTTTATGATACTAATGCTTTTAGGTTTTGTTTTTTATATTTTGTATACCAGCATTATACAGATAGAATATATTTTAATAAATCTAATTTCCGATTTTATTCATTTTTTATGCGTTTTTGTTCTTTTAAGCCCCTTTACTCGATGTTTTCTATCCCCAGCTGAAAACAATACAAAAATAATTGTCTTATAGGCTTTGTGAGCTTCGATAATCCTACAAGCGCCCAGACCGCCATCCAGGCCATGAATGGATTCCAGATTGGAATGAAACGCCTCAAGGTTCAGCTGAAACGCCCGAAAGACACCAACAGGCCATACTAATTGTAAGGCCAAGTCTTATTTCATGAAAATTCAAGGTAAGCTCGTTAAGTCGAACATAAAAACGGACAAAAATAATTCTTATTAAACTGTAATTTACCTTTAACATATTAGCGATTTCCAGTTTTTATATCAAAATAGTGTTCAGAAATCACATGTTATAAACATTGCGAATATCAAAAGTCATATTGTAGTCGTTAATACGAAAGAAGTCACAAAACGTCATTGATTCTCTGGTATAACTAATGTTTCTGTCCCTTTTGATATTAATGAATAACAATGGATATTTAAGAAAACAATTACGTTTTAAATATATTATTCTGTCATCCATTCATATATATATATATTGTAGTTGGTGGTAGCAGAAATTCATCATCATTTTAACATTAAACATTCCAAGCGCCATACCGGACTCAAACCCGAGTCAGTTTGGGGTCTCGCGCTTTTTCAAACAAAAAAATGTCTTATTTTACTACCGCAGTTATTAAATTACTTGAAATGGAAGTTAGGCACTTAAGTTAAAACAAATACGTTTAGGGAACAAATTTCCCTAAATGCCACGCTAATACGTAACTGATTATCTGACTGGTCATCTTGTTTCTTGAGGCACCAGTCTCACTATGACCAGTGCTGTCCAAAACAAAATCTGTTGCTTTCTTCTCTTATAATTTTCCAAACTTTTACAAATACAAAGGGTGTGTGCATTTTATTAGAAGAATTTTATATGCAAATCAGCAAGTGGTGGTGGAATGACATGTATCAAGACTACATTTTCACTTCGTTTGGCTGAATGTCACTGAGAATTGGTCGCTTTTGGGGAGGGTATGTAATATATCTTTACTAGATATTCATACACTCAAATCGTAAAGGTGTGTTCAGATCGTGGATTTAGAATTTCCAAGATGGGGATATCCCTTATACTTAATGACTTCGTAAAACAAAATAATATCAGCTTGAGGCACACAAAAACCACCCAGAAACGTACCTACAACAAGTCGTACCCCAGCCGTGGAAAGCGAAGCAAATTTCGATGTCTTCTAACAAGTGAAAATCTACGAATACAAAATTAAGTAGTAAAAGCTGTCCACGTGCACCAGACAGTAGTACGCAATGTAACCAAGAATCTCCGTCTGGAAAAGTGGACACAAGCTACTTCCACAAAATATCCATTCAACCGTCGTACACTTCAAAGAGCTGGAGAATGAAACGAGTATTCATGCTGTTCCATACGAAGATATACTAGGAAAGTCGCCTATGGATTTCTTTCTGTGCTATCGGACTGTTGAAACGGACGCTGTGAAAACGAGTTATCGTGCACTAGATGGTTTGTGAAAACCATGCAGAGATGAGGGGCGTGCTTTGGACATGACAGTTTGGCGACGGAGACTTTTGCAATAGAAAATACGTGTAAGGCTATTGTCCAGTGCAAGTTCGTCAAATAGAACATGACCGGACGTGATAAGGCTCCAAATTGATGTAATATATCATATTAAATCTTTGTACAACAAAAAAATGGAGAATATTTCTTCAAAAATTATCCAGTTACAACTGGTAAGTACTTTAAAGACGCTTCTGGTTCAAATAAAGGAAACTTTTATCCTACACGGAAACAGTACGCTTGCCAATATATAAATATGTCAAATTACACCGTATTGTAGTTCTTATGACCAATAAGCCTGAATATTTCCTGTTACATTTACTGATATAGTTACACTACACATCAAATTTGTATGACTAAGTTGTTAATAAAAAATAAACTTGTTACTTAACTATTTCTACCATTCCTGTCCATCAAAAAAGTGCAACCCTATTTTTTGGAATATTACCTTATAATTAAGTAACACAATAAACCTGTTATTAAATATGTCACATTTAGGCATTATAAGCGTATCTATCACATGTAGAAGTTCAAATATATTAATTTGAATAAAATAAAAAATGTTATTTTGGGTAACCTCACGCAATCCATCTCTCTCCTGATTCATTAACTGATATTGCCACTGCCATCCAAGAAAATTACGTTATAATTTCGCAGTTGGTAATTAATATCAAAAACAAGCAAACAAAAACGTAAGTCCGCTAATGTGTTTGTATATTCACCAGCTACTAAAAGATACTGATGTTTGTGATATTTTACATCACAGTAGTGATGGTACAATAAGAAAATAATCCTGTATTTAAATTAAGGTTTTGAATGACAAATTGCAACTGTTTCCAACACAAATTATTGTCTAGTCCATGAGCATTTTCATCTCCTTTCCATTAGTGTGTGATGATATTACTCTTGGATTCAAAACTCAATTAGGTTTATATATATGTGGCAGTTTTCAACAGTCTTCCAAAAATACCAAAGCGTAGACATTTATCTACATATACAGATTAATACATCATACATACAAACAAATATACATATAAAATGCTATACGGCGGGATTTATATACATTAGTACATAGATACATTCAATGTATAATTAAAACTTATATTATGAGTTATGTAGTGTGATTCTACACATAAATTATCATTACATGGTTTGTATATGTGTGTTTGTCATTTAATTTGAATTATACTCTGTCGACGGTGAAGAATTCCATACTTAGCTTCATCATTATGAAACTTAATTTACCTGAATCTGTAAAGTGTGTGCTAAAAATATTGATCAAACATAACGAAACTTAAATAAAAGATACATTAAAATTTCACTACCTTTCAAATGCAAATGATTCTTTTAAGCTGATATAATTTGACAATAGATATACTATAACAGTTTCGAGTATTACATTTATTATAGTATTGTCATTTGGAATATATATCGCTTATATTTCACGATATGTGATGTTTTTAGGTGTGTTATCGTTCTGATAAATATACGAAACTACATAAGCCCTCTTTGAAAAAATCAGCCTTGTTCATTACTCACCAGTAAAGACAGTGTTCATGCTAGTAGAAAATGACAACAAACATTATTCATTGTCAAATTGACATCAGATAAGCTTCAAACGATTGTTTTAATAATTAAACCAATGAGTTTTCTCCAAGTTTTTTTAGCTCTTTTTTATTTCACAAGCTTTCGGACCTAGTACCGGAGCCTTCGAAAGGTGAGTTTCAATGTTTAAAAAAAAATCAAAAAAAGTAAAGAAAATTCGCATATTTATTCATTTAATATCTTTATGCCGCGCTATTAATCTGAAGTATATAATTAACGTTTCATTTTCTTTAATTTCTTTTCTTCAGTTGCCAAGGATGAGGAGAAGATAAAGACTCCGGTACTGGACTGGAATCACGTGATCTTCTTCAACCTTCTCCTTTCATCAGTGATGTTACAGTCCGTGAAGTGGACTCGCATTTTTTTCTTATAAAGACAGAGGGCCTTACCATTAGGGCTCAGATATAAATTATATATATAAATAAAGGAATTACAAAAATAGATAGATACCAGGCTACTATATTTAGGAAGATAGGACATAAATGACTTAGAAGTAGATTAGAAATTTCTTGCTTTAATATGTAATAATTTAATTTATATACATAACTTTGAGAATTTTATGAATTTTGCGACCTCAAGTAGTTGACAACAATGTGATGTTTTTTGAGATTGGAGGAAGTATTTTGAAATCCGAGCTTTCGAATTGTCGACTTTTTCCTGGATTTCCAGATTTTACGGGGTGTCCTGTTGTATTTACGGCACTTGTCATATCATATCATAGACCACCATTTGTTGACCGGTAAGATTCAGTGGGCCAGAACAGTAGAAAATACAACTAATATGTTACTCCATTGGCTTGTAAATACAACTGTTCTAGTGTAATGGGTTTTCATCACTACACAAACACGAAGAGGGGCAGAAGAAGTTACACAATGCAGATAATTTTTTTTATTGTCATTCCTGTTCTTTTCGTGATTTATGTACAAACCAAAGCAGCTTAGTACCATCAGAGATGTTAGAATATTTAATCAAATGTTTATGACATGATCATTCCATATCATTAGTGCCATGATTTTATTAAGTTTATATTTTAGTCAAAATATATTTGTGATACGAGTTTTTCTTGTTTGTCTATTTATCATATACTTGTATATTTATTTATTTATTCAGATTTTCTGTTTTGTTATAAGTGATAAAGATAAAGCGGGTCATGACCTATCTTTTATCATTGATAAATCAGAGAGAGATCCAGAACTGTTCGTTTTCATGTAAAGAAAGTAGTATATAGAAGTTTTGTCTTAAATTTTTTAACAACGTAGCAGGGTAGACATTTTTCTCGAGCACTTAGTAGAATGGGGAAGGATTGTGAGAATTCATTAACATAAACTGATTTTCTGAAATCTCAAAAGAAAATTTCAGGAATGCCAAAATAAAATGTTTGTATGAGTGTTTTCTATGGTTTGATTTGAAATCAGGACATGAAAAAGGATTTACTGGCGAGAAACGTTTTTTCTATTAACGACAAGCTTAAATCATGAAAATACTCATCTAGCGGTAAGATTGCTAAATTTATAATGTACATACAAGTATTTTATCTTTCTGAAATGGAAGCTTTTCGTCTGATGATGTATAGTTATCAACAATGTAGAACATCTGTGGAAATAACTATTATAATAAGGTAGGAAGTTTTTGTTATTTTGTAACTATTTCAGAAATATTATCAAAGTAATATAGAATTTTGTTTTTTGGCTCCCTGAAACTTGGAGTCCGAAAGTTTGAGTTGTGGATAAATGATGTCATCATAAGTATTGAAATCACACAATGCCAAATCAAGAGCATCAATCTTTTATACGAAATAGGATTTTATTAACATTAGCGTTTCTTCTATTGTAGCTTACCTAATTAATGTTTCATTTATATTTAAATTAATATTTACGAGTTGTTTTAAGACAGAGATCTCGGTAATTGGTAATTACAAGGAACATATTAAATACTTAGTTATTTTAAAAAAATATTTTTTATTTTCACTTTGATATTACTTCATATCAAAAGAAACAAAAACCGTAAACTAAAAACTTGGAAATAACAGAATACAACATTCAGTGGTTGGAACATTACGAGTATGTAAATGTACTTAAGGTAAAATCACAAATATGCAACACCGTGTCAGCGCTAACAGTAAAAATAAAGCTAACCTTCAGTAAAACCTATGTTAGATGTATGACATTGTGTTAACATGTGAAATAGGCCTAATTTCGGATACGCATACGTTAGATACTTGGCATCGTGTTACTGAATAAAAGTAAGCCTAATGTGAGTTAGTCCTAAGTTTCATGCATGACATTTTATTCTAGATCAAAAATAAACTAAACTTAAAAATACAGTAATAGGAACCTTTACAGTAGGCAGATTTTGATGTTAATGATTATAATATTCTCATTAAAATCAAAATTCAGAATATACTTGTTCTAAAAGTTCCTGTTATTGTATTTTTCAATTAATTATTCATTTCAGTAGGTTCCTCACTAAACATAACTTAACAAATGACAGTAACAAATACAAGTAACTGTGTTAGTTAATTACAGTAGCGATCAGGACTAACGTGATTTCAGCTACGTTAGACACATGACACTGTGTTAGTTAATGACAGTAGCAGTCAGGAACGTGAGTTCAGCTACGTTAGACACATGACACTGTTAGTTAATGACAGTAGCAATCAGGAATAATGTGATTTCAGCTACGTTAGACATGACACTGTGTTAGCTAATGACAGTAGCAATCAGGAATAACGTGATTTCAGCTACGTTAGACACATGACACTGTGTTAGTTAATTACAGTAGCAATCAGGAATAACGTGATTTCAGCTACGTTAGACATGACACTGTGTTAGCTAATGGCAGTAACAGTCAGAAATAACAAGACTTCAGCAACGTTAGACATAACACTGTGCTAATTAATCACAGTAGCAATCAACAACGTGATTTCAGCAACGTTTGATACATGACACTGTGTTAGCTAACGACAGTAACAGTTAGAAATAACAATATTTCAGCTACGTTAGACACAGAACACTGTGTTAGCTAATGACAGTAATAATCAGAGGTAACGTGATTTCAGCTATGTTAGACACATGACACTGTATTAGCTAATGACAGTAACAAACAGGACTAATACAATTCAGTTGCGTTAGACACATGACATTGTGTTAGCTAATGACAGTAACAATCAGAAGTAACGTGATTTCAATTACGCTAGACATATGAAAGTGTGTTAGCTAATGACAGTAACAAATACAAGTAACATAATTTCAGCTACGTTTGACATTTGACACTGTTTTAGCTAATGACAGTAACAAATACAAGTAACATACTTCCAGCTATGTTGGACATATGACACTGTGTTAGTGTCTAACGTAGCTGAAATCACGTTAGTTGTGATTTTTACTGTCATTAATAACACAATGCCATGTGTTTAACGTAGCTGAAATTATGCTAGTCCTGATCGCCACTGTCATTAAGTTTACAATGTATTAGCTAATGACAGTAACAATCAGAAATAACGAGAATTCAGCTACGTTAGACACCTGACACTTAGTTAATGAATGACAGTAACAGTCAGAAATAATATGATTTTAGCGACGTTAGACAAATGACACTGTTTTAGGTAGTAACAGTAACAATCAGAACTAACGCAATCTCAGTTGCATTAGACACATGACACTGTGTTAGCTAATGACAGTAACAATCAGAAGTAACGTGATTTTCAGTTACGTTAGGCACATGAAACTGTGTTAGCTAATGACAGTAACAAATGCAAGTAATATAATTTGAGCTATGTTGGACATATGATACTGTGTTAGTTAATGACAGTGGCGATCAGGACTAGCATAATTTCAGCTACGTTAAACACATGGCATTGTGTTATTAATGACAGTAAAAATCACAACTAACGTGATTTCAGCTACGTTAGACAGTTTACAATGTATTAGCTAATGACAGTAACAATCAGAAATAACGTGATTTCAGTTACGTTAGACACAGGACACTGTGTTAGTTAATGACAGTAGCAATCAGGACTAACGAGAATTCAGCTACGTTAGACACATAACACTATGTTAGCTAATGACAGTAACAAATGCAAGTAATATAATTTGAGCTATATTAGACACATGATACTGTGTTATCTAATGACAGTAAATGTCAAAAGTAACGTGATTTCAGCTACATTAGACAAATGACACTGTGTTAGCTAATGACAGTAACAATTACAAGTAGCATAATTTCATCTACGTTACACACAGCTAATGACAGTAAAATTCACGACTAAAGTAGTTTTAGCTACGTTAGACACATGACACCCTGTTAGGTAATGACAGTAATAATCTGGACCCACGCGATTTCACCTACGTTAGACACATGACGCTGTGTTAGCTAATGACAGTAACATTCAGGACTTACGTGATTTCTGCTACGTTATGCTTAATAATTCAGCATTGCGTTGAAAAGTTAATGGTCTGAAATTATTTCCAGTAACCGTTTCCCTGTACATATTCTGCAATTTCTTCTAAAATTTCAAGTTTATAAGAGTATTTAAAATGATTTTGAGCTTGTTATAAAATAAATTCGATTTCGAGTGTATATTTTACTGCATCGAAACCTTGGTATGGCTATGAGTATGAATTGGTTGGAATAGGAATGGACACATAAATAATCTTAATTAAAGCATATAATATCAATAATTCTGTAATCGTAGTAAGATAAATAATGTTTATTTGAAATATTGACAATTGTTGTACGATTCCACATCATATTTATTTATTTGGCTTGTAGTATGGCATTAAATATTAATGGAAGAAAGACCACAAAGCGAGTTTGATCCATATGTATGGACTTCAGGAACGCAATATAGAGCACCAGACATAAAACAGGGTTAGTTTACATTCGCCAATACCTTGTGCGTGTTCACTGGGTATCCATACGAACATCTTTTAACATATGTACTGGTTCTAATCTGAGTATGACTAAAAGGTATTTGAACTCTGTGTTTAGCATATCATTTCCTAAATGTTGAAAGTGAAAACGAGTGATTCGATGAACATCCATACAAATTGCGCCATTTTCAGCCATTGTCATATTTCGCACTTGTCACCATTGCTTGATGCACGCCATCTCATTTACTTCACAGGGTCGTTCTTAAAGCTGAAATATGCCTTCAACAAGTGGATATCGTTTTAGTTCACTGAAATTCTTGACGTGCTATATGCATAGATTAAAGGCTGCTTTTCAAGATCTTATCATCGGGAATGCCAGGTTTTTTACATTACGGAAATGAACTTGTTTTAAAAATATTCCCTTTTGCTGTTATTTCTCACATTCCTTCTTCAGGAATGGTGTAATTAATTTAGTATACAAGATCTAATGTATAACCTTTTCATGATAATTATACTAATATTGAGCTTGTAAGCTATTGTTTATGCTCTAAAAATAAAGATACCACTTACTAAAAATGTGTGAGAATTGTTTCTATTGTTCTAATGCAACTGTGTTAGGAAATCACATGAAAGCAAACGAAAATAGTTATGAAGTTCTTTTTACATAATAATCATTTTAAAGGAAGCGAAAAAATCATTTTACTGAAAGTTAATAATGACATTTTACATGAACTTGAACCTAAAATGTGTTTCAAGAGTTATCGCCTCACTATTATATACAGAGTTGAGTACGTAATATTAAAACGATTTTGAATACGCAAATCAACAAATTACGTGACTACCATATCCAATATATATAGTCGCGGTGGAACTAAATTTTAACTTGTTTGATTTCGTAGGTGGTGTGATGCCACCGAAACGTCGTATAATAGTCCTATCAAACACACAATATCTATACATTCAGATAACAAAGATTTGTTCAGATCAGGGATTTATAATTTCCAAGACTGGGATATCCTTAAACGTGGTGACATTGGAAAACAAAGGAATGAACTTGGGGTACCAGGACCATCCTGAAAGAGACCTACAGCAACAAGTCGTATTGTAACAAGCAAGAATTCACGCACACAAGGGTCAGTAGCAAAAGCCGTCCACGTGCCCCAGGCAAAAATATGTAACATAATCCAGAAGGATTTCTGCCTGAAAAAAAAAAGCACAAGTCCCGTATACACATGTTTCTTCCACAACATAAATAATGAAATGGGTATTCAAACTATTCTACATGAAAATATACTGGTTAAGTCTTCTTGTGAAGTGCCCATTAATTTCTCTGATTGTAAGATTGAAACGGTCCCTGGAAAACTGTCGTCCTTCTTCTCTAGATGGATTATGGAAAGGCTGCAGGAAGAAGATATGTGCTTGGAATATGGCAGTCTTTTCTAATAGAAACTACGGTGCGTGGCAATTGTCACCATGTGCGGTCGCCAGATAGAGCAACGGACATGACGACATGGACTGTAACGACGTGACGAAGCTCCAAAATCGTTTAAATATAATACACTATATATCTATAGTCTATTCTACTGGGACTATAATGACAATGTCATTTGTGCGGAATAAGGAAGAAAATGCGGTATGATGAAAGATAGCCTTATAAATGTTATATAATACTAAATATTTAACAAGCTCTCCAATAATTATGATAGCAACTTTATCAATTAGATACTCCTCTGTAAATATTAGGGATAACATTAACATTTTAAAGATGAATACGCAATTTTCTGGTTGGCTGCTTCCCGATAGTCCTTTTTTTTTGCTATTCTGTTTTGTTTAAGCAAATATTATATTTGTTTACTAAAAGCACTGAAGTATGAACGTAATACGTAGTTCAATAATAATTTGTATGACCCTAAAGATAAAAACAACTGTTAGAAAAGAACATCCTCTGGTTGAGTCTAGGTCATTGATACCTAGCGTATTGAGATAAACACAAAAACTTCATTGGGACAAAGAAAACATAATTGTGAACACAGCGAAATACTTAAGCATTCTGTTTTTTAGAATAACCTAGTTTGGTTGAACTGTGGGTGAAGCTGAAATAACATATCAATTGGCTAGAAGAGTGTCTTAGGAGCGGAGCATGGATGGCCATCGAAATATTATCTGATAACATTATACATTTGCTTTTTTTCCCTCAAGAAGAAAAGGATTATTACGTATGCAATCTGCCTTCCTGAGTCATCTTGGAAGATAAGTTTTTTTTATATAATTTTGAGATATTAAAATCAACCAACTGGAAAAATACTGGAGAGAGATTTTTCCCTTCAGTTACAATGTTCATTGCTTAAGTTTCTTCTTCTCGACGTTAAACTCAGTTATTTTTAAAACCGTTCAAGTTTGAGGCTTTATTTTCACGGTTTAACGCCTTAAGTGATATACACGCTGACTCATGTACAAGAAGACTGATGAAGTAGGATTTCTCAAATAAATCATGCATGTACATTAACGAAACGTATATTTCGAACATAATCACAGCAATCGTAATGAAATTACTTTATATACCGTTTAGTTCTTAAGATATACGCTCTGAATAAAACTTCCTGCTGATATACCGCTGAAACCGGAATCTCTAGAGAAAATATCTTTCAAATATTCAAATAAAACATTTGAATTTTCAACAGATGCCTCAACAACGTGTGTAAAGATCTGTCTTTAGTTGTTGCTTTTTTTACATCTGTTTACAATGACTTCTGTTAGTATAAAATAATATAAAGTGGGAAAATGAGAAAACTACACAATGTTTTATTATTATTTAAGAATATATATACATATAAAACTAATTCATATAATTGCATATTAGTTTTCATAATATTTAAAAGTACAAATTGATGTCTTTATTTTTGATCAACCAAACTTAACATAAGTTAACACAAAAAATTTAGACTATAGTAGAACAATCTTCAAACTACTACGAGTGAGGTTATTCTAAGGTAGAGATTTGCCCTATAAATTTCAATATTAACATAATATTCCATCATTTAAAGCACTATTGTTTTTTGTTTGTTTTTGAATTTCGCGCAAAGCTACACGAGGGCTATCTGCGCTAGCCGTCCCTAATTTAGCAGTGTAAGACTAGAGGGAAGGCAGCTAGTCATCACCACCCACCGCCAACTCTTGGGCTACTCTTTTACCAACGAATAGTGGGAATGACCGTCACATTATAACGCCCCCACGGCTGAAAGGGCGAGCATGTTTGGTGTGACGGGGATTCGAACCCGCGACCCTCAGATTGCAAGTCGAGTGCCTTAACCACCTGGCCATGCCGGGCCCATTTAAAGCACAATCCAACCTTACCAAAAGTACATTAGTCAGATGAAGTTCTCAGCACAGACCTACTTGCCTTAATATAGGTTTTTATGTACAATTGTAATGGTATGAGGGATTTTAATGGACGTGTAGAAAGGTTCAGAAACCATATCTTTGATTTCATCCAGTTTTCAAAATTGTCATATCCCCAAAACCAGATCCCTTAAAAGTCATCTATAAAAGTATTTATTTGCTTACTTGTAACACTTTAAAATGTTATACTAAGAGGTTTAATTTGGAATCCTAAGTGTACAAATTACGACAAACATGAGGAAAAATATCTTACGTGATTTTTATCACAAATATTAGGAGTATCGGTTCTATTACGTTTCCAGCTTTCAGTGTAACATTACAATTTTCCACCTCATACAGACTTTTAGCTACCATCAAAGCCCAGCTCAGCAGCCGAATTCTGATATTGAATAAAAAATCCTTTGATTAGTGACTTAGGTCAGACAAAAGATAGATTCGAAATTCTGTTTTTGCACACCTCTGCTTTAAATCCATAATGGGTAATTTAAGAGAGATGTGAAGGGAAAAATCTGAGTTTTGCATTATTTTAATTGCGAATATTAGGGCTCTCGATTACTCTACTTAGAAAGCTTTCGGGTTGAGTTCGTAATGTTAGTTTAGTTTTTGTTTTTAATAACGGTGAATGAAAAACTTGTATGCATTCTCTTAATTAAGCCTCAGTTAAAATTTCTTACATTTGTTACAAACATTTCAATAAACAGACTTAACTAATTAAGAATAGTTTCAACTTTATTCTTTTATTTCTACCCTTGATGCTAATGAGTAGTTTTTAGTATATTTTACTAAATTAATTAGAACTACCATTTCGGTACATTCAAGAACGTTAAACACGGAGGCCACAGAAAAAGAATTAAACATTTAAAGTGTGCATTTCTTGAAGCAGAACCGACTTTATTACTAAATATTATTTTTGTACAAAAATTAGAAAATACAGTGAGCTTAACACTATTACGGCAGATCAATAAATAACGCACTGACTTTATTATTAGAAGTTATTAGCTTCGAATATTGATGGGTGTATTTTTCCCACTTAAAATTAAAATATATTCATTTGTTTTGTAAGTTAAATTTATAAATGCCTGTACTGCTCATTTCATTAAAGTATGTTCTGTTTGTTAGTAGTTCGTCTTTCATTATTTTCGACCACATTGAAATATATTTACTGTCTAGAATATCGACCCGGCATGGCCAGGTGGTTAGGGTGCTCGACTCGCAATCTGAGGGTCGCGGGTTCGAATTCCCGTCTCACCAAACATTCTCACCCTTTCAGCCGTGGGGGCGTTATAATGTGACGGTCAATCCCACTATTCGTTGGTAAAAGAGTAGCCCAAGAGTTGGCGGTGGGTGGTGATGACTAGCTGCCTTCCCTCTAGCCTTAGACTGCTAAATTAGGGACGGCTAACGCAGATAGCCTCGTGTAGCTTTGCGCGAAATTCAAAATAAACCAAAACCAAACTAGAATATCACGAGAAAGTGTTTAGTGTCTTTTCAAATGAATCTGCAAATATATATATAAAAAATTTAGTATTTAGCAGTTTACTGACTAAAATAACAAGGAAAAACACTTATGGAAGTCGTTCTCGTAGTATGGTCCAATTAACATACAATAATTTACTGAAAGTATGAAATAATACACGATTTCTTCTACAAAGAAGCACTAGATTGTCATGTCATAATTTTGAACAGATTTACAAGTTGAAAGTCCATGCAAACTTTCACCCACCATAAATATTTCAACACGAAAACATCCGCTGTTAATGTAATTATTTTTATAGTTTCTATTATTTAAATACCTAAATTATAGCATGTAAATATCAAACGTAAGAAAAGTAATTATTGTCCAATATTCTAAAGTGAATCTTTGGAAATGTCATATATTAATAAATAACATGCTAAACAACACATTATATTGGGGAAAAATTATGTACTGAAATAGTACCTATTATATATATTGTAACCGTTTCACAACTATGAAAACGAAAGTGGTGATCCAGAAACTCAAGTAAGTTTTAGGTTCGATAAGTAATAGAAAAAGAATGCCGTAAGCCTTAAACTTTAATAACTATAGAAATATTTCGAGAATAACTAGATCACAATTTCTTTGGAAAAAAAAACATTTTGTTTTATAAAAAAGTGTGTCACTAGAAACGTAGATTTTGTCAAAGTCTGGTGTGTTT